CCAAGAAGGGTGAATTGACAAGACTTGGTAACTGGATTAGATGGGAAAGGGAAGAGACAAGGATCCCTTTCGGGTTGTGGCCCCAGGTGACTGGAAGAGCAGTAAGCCTTAGAAACAAAAACAAGTTAGGAAGAAGAGCCTGTTTAGGCGGAAAGAGTTTGCGTTGGGGTTTGTTAGGTTTGAGTTGACTAAACGAAATTAAGGGGGCACGTCTAGCAGACAGGTAAAGACTGAAAGCTGCATTCAGTTCTGGAGGCCCTGTTTAACATTGTTATGATTGCCATCTTTTGTTCTGATATCACCTTCATTTGATCAGCAGCATGGTGTAGAGGATTGGACTTGGAGTCTGGAAGACCTGGGTTCAAAGTCTGCCTCAGAGACTTGCCGACTCCATGACCCAGGGGAAGTCAATTAACTTCTCTGTTCTTTAGCTGTTTTCACATTGGTAAAACAAGAAGTTTGGACTCCATGGCATCTAAACTCTAAATCTATGAGCCTATGGTGGAGTACAAAAATCTTGGGTCAACATTGTAGATGAATAATGAGCTGGGCCCAGAGCCATGCCTGGGCTCTTTCTGGCCTGATGTCAGGGGTCCCTAAGGAGTATAGAATTCAGCATCCCAAGGCAGCATGGGGCATGGAATAAATTAGAGTGTGTGGCTCTCCCACCCGAGCATTTTTTTGTGTAGCTAAAAATAAGGTAAAATGGAATGACCTAAAAGGTAATCTTAGGAGTAATAAAAGAGCAACAGCCCCAGGGAAGTTCATGGAAGCCTGAGGCTCTTTGAAGAGGCTGATGGGAAAAGATGGGGAAAGAGTAGGGAGGTTTGGGTATAGAGGTGGTGGACTGTGGTTACAGAATGGGTCAGACACAGTTGATGTATCAGTTTGATTTGCTTAATTATTTCTTTTTGTTACAAGAGAGGGTTCTTTGGGGGAGGTATTGGGAAGGGGAGTAAATAAGTATCAATGAAATATTTTTTAAAAGAAATAATAATAATAGGGGCAGCTAGGTGGTGCAGCGGATAGAGCACCGGCCCTGGATTCAGGAGGACCTGAGTTCAAATCCGACCTCAGACACATAACACTTACTAGCTATGTAACCCTGGGCAAGTCACTTAACCCCATTGCCTAGCAAAAAAAAAAAAAAATAATAATAATAATAATAATAGCTAACATTTAAGTAGTGCCTACTATGTGCCAAGTACTGTGCTAAGTGCTTTACACTTTACAATTATTATCTCTTTTGATCCTCACAGCAACCCTGGGAGGTGGGTGTTATTGTTATCCCCATTTTTCAGATGAGGAAAGTGAGACAAATAATAGTTAAGTGACTTGCCCAGGGTCATACAGCTAGTAAGTGTCTGAAGGGGAATTTGAGCTCAGGTATTCCTGACTACAATGAGCATCAATGATTTTTTATTTTTAAAGAAAGACAAGAGAAAAGAATAGAGGAGTAAAATCACTGGAAAGGAAGAAAGGAATGAGTCAAGAAAAAAAAGAATAAGACAGAATGGGAATCAAGCATTCTTGAATGGTTGTACAATGGGTAGAGCACTTGGTTTAGAGATAGGAAGACCTGAGTTTGAGTCCTGCCTCAGACGCTGCGACCCAATCACTTCTTCTATTTCAGCCTCAGTTTCCCCCTCTGTCAAATGAGAGGATTGGTCTACGTCAGAGGTTCTGAGCCTGGTGTCTGAGAATTTGTTTTCAAAATTATTTAAATAGCTGTATTTTAACGTAATTGTTTTCCCTTGTAATCCTACATATTCTATTTTATGTATTTTTAAAAAACGCTATTCTGAGAAGGGGTCCATAAGTTTTACTAGACTGCCCAGGGGTCCAGGACTCACACCTAAAAGGTTAAGAACTCTGACCTAGAAGGCTTTGAAGGCCTCTTTCAGTTCTAAATCTATGATCCTAGGGAACTTCTGCATCGGTAGAAGACTTTTCTCTTCCCACACCGCTCCCCTAAATAATTTCATTTTGGTTCTTATTAAGGCGTAGAGATGATCTCCCCTTCCTTGAGATTCCCTGGCTCCACCCAAAATGGTTTCATTTGTCTGCCCCATCTACCTAGTTAGAGGCATAGAGAAAATAAGACTAGATTTGAAATTCAAGGATCTGGGTTTAAATCTCAGGTCTGTGATTTCCCTCCTCAGGGTTACCTGATTCATCCGCTTGGTGTTTCCCATGTGGATTACTGGGTCAACATCTTTTGAGTCATCATGGATGCCATTGAGGAGTGTGACCTTCAGCAAACATTTTCATTGCAATGGTTCTCTGTTTCTTCATGTTAGGGGGTGACCTAGATGTTCTCTAGGAACCCTTCCAGCTCTAAATCTGTTACCCATGTAGGGATCACGACTCTCAATCCATGGAGAATCTAGATCCTGCTGCAATCAAAGGAGAGATGCCATGATGATGTTATGGAAAGAGCAATGGATCTAAAGTGAGAAGGTTAGGGTTTGAATTCCAGCTCTGCCCCTACCCACAGGACCTGGGCAAATCACTTCCATGCTGTGGGCCTCAGTTTCCTCCTTTGTCAAATGAGGAGGTTAAATTAGATGACCTCTAGAATTCCTTCCAGTGCTCAGTCTATGAACCTAGGACAGAACATTACTCTAGGAACCTTTTGCTAGCTGTGAGACCTTGGGTAAGTCATTTCTCTGGGCCTTAGTTTCATATAAAATGAGAGAGCTGGATTAGATGATGATGATGATGATATAACATTTATATATAATCGTATAATAATATAAGGGGCAACTAGGTAGTGCAGTAAATAGAGTTCTAGGCCTGGAGTCAAGAAGACCTAGGTTCAGATTCGATCTGAGACACTTACTTAGGCAAGTCTCTTTACTCTGCCTCAGTTTCCTCATCTGTAAAATGAGCTGAAGAAGGAAATTGTGAAGAAAACCCCAAATGGGGTCATGAAGAATCAGACATGACTGAAAAATGACTGGACAACAACAATATAGTAATTTATATAATATAAATTATGTTATATAATTATATAATTTATTTAATATAATGGTAATTGCATTATGTAATTTATGTATGATGATAATTATGTAATATAATAATATAATGACAGTGCTTTAAGATTTGTAAAACATTTTATGTTAGCTCCTTTGCTTCTCACAACATCCCTGTGAAGGAAGCGCTAGTATTATCCTCATTTTACAGATGAGGAAACTGAGGGCAAGAGACTTTAAGTGACCAAGCCAAGGTCACACAGCTAATGAGGTAAGACTGGAACTCCCCCTGACTCCAGGTCTCCCAGTGCTCTCAGGACTCTGCTACCCAGCTGCCTCTGAGGTCCCTCGGGACTATGACCCTGTGAAGTTCGAAGCCTGTCCATTCTTGGTCCCTCCAGAAGCCAGGGCTGGACGACAGGAAACAAGCCTTTTCCTCAGCAAACAAAGAAAGGATTGGGAGGATGAAGGATATGCACAGTGCTACTTTATCTTTAAGCTGCTTGTTTAGTGAAGAAGGGAGAGAAACGTGCGCCAGCAAACCACACTTTTGGCAAGTCAGAGCCTATAATTAGCTTTCACGTCGAGTTCCCATCTATCCCCAGTTGTACTATGTACAAGCAAACTAATAAAGCCTGGAACCTGAGCAAATCCCAGAGGGTCTGAGCCTCCCTGAAGGTACATTTAGTTTGGCTTCCTCGGCCCTCAGTCAGCAGGGACTAATTCTCCGGGAAGAACACCTCCTTGTCCAAACTCAAAGCTGAGGAACAAGTCATCTCAAGCCTCAAGCAGCCAGCAACGAGAGAGAGAGGAATCTGATGCAACCTGTTCCCTCAACATCAGTTACTGGAAGGAAAAAAGCTAGAGTCCAGGGGTCTGTGTTCCATTACTGACACTCCTTTGGTTTGTCGCATCTATGGCCGAAGGACAAGAAGGGACGTGGAGTTGGGCCTCGGTTTCCTTCTCTGTAAAATGGGAAGATTGGGTGCTCCAATATCCCAAGATCCTGTGATACCCAGACCACCCTCCCACCCTGACTCAAGCAGGACTTCATTTAGCCATCCTAGACTAACAGCTATGTGGTATATGGTCTTTTTTAAGTATCGCTAGCTGCATTAAGCTTCTCATTGACTCAGCTTTGCCATTTGTGAGAAGGAAATGATAGATGTCAGCGACATTGTGAGGAAGGATGAGTAAATACCTGAAAAGCATGTTGAGCATGTCTGGAGAGGGGATTGCTAAAAATATGAAACGCTGCCTCGTGGAGGAAGAGTGAGACGAATAGAGAGTTTCTGTCATGGGGAGATGAAGTAGAGCCAGGCCCAGAGCCAGGCTGCTCACTATTGCGTTTCCCCACATGTGCTTTCCTCCCAGCCTTCTGTTAACCGAGATCTCTTCAGGGCCTTGTGCCAAATAAACCACTGTGGAAAAGGACTTTAGGGTCTAAAATGAGGTGAAAGTCCCTAACCACGGCTCCAGGGCAGATTTATCTGACTTTGAACCATGTTCTAGACAATTCATTTCATCTCTCTCTGGGCTTCCCTTCCCACAATTCTGTTCATAGAATCATAGAACCTCAGACTTGGAAACCCATACCTGACCGAGAAATCCCTCTATGATATAACCAACCAGTGGTTTTCCAAACTCTGCTGTATTGAGGGGCTACCCATGACCTTTGAAGCCTCCCGACTGCCCCTTACTACTGGAGTAACTTCAGTTACTTTAGGCAAGGCACTAAAACTCTGGAAGCCTCTTATCGGTAAAATGCAGTCAGACTCAATGACCTCTAAGGTCTTTTTCAGCCCTAAATTTGTGATCCGTAATATTTATACTGCTATAATTATCTGCCCAACCCTTTCTCCATTTGTTTTTGTCTTCAGTGCTCCACCTAAGACTCACATATCGAGGATGTATTTGCCCTAGTATTTGCCCAGTGATTCTGGGGGAAGGTTATGTGATAACATAACAAATGTGAGAAGGCAGCAGTTGTATATTTACCGACTCTAACTCATGTATTTGTTCCAGGTGGGTGATGCTGTCTTAGACAATGCTCGGCTTATGCTACAGACTGAGAATACTCAGGCTTGTGCTGAAGATTTTAAAGAGAGGTGAGTCTCCTGTGGACCCACAGCCCTGGTCATCCACCTCACTGTGTCCTCAAGTCCACATTTTTTATCCTCCTCATCAGATATTTCTTGACCAGAGCACCAAAGGGTGCTTGGGACTACATGGAGAGCCACAGAATCCTGAGATGGCGACTTCCTAGCTGTGTAACCTCTCCCTGGGCCTCAGTCAATCAGTCAAGAAACATTTATCAAGTGCCTACAAAGTGTCAGGCACTGTGCTAAGTGCTGGGGATACAAAGAGAGGCAAAAGACAGCTCCTGCCTCAAGGAGCTTGCAGTCTAACAGATGCAGACAACGTGCAGACAACTATGTACTGACAGCTATAGACAGACAAATTGGAGATAATCCACAGACAGAAAGTGCTAGAATTAAGGGGGCTATGGAAAGGCTTCCTGTAGAAGGTGGGATTTTAGCTGAGACCTGAAGGAAGAAAAAGACCAGGGAAGTCAGGAGGTGGAGGTGAGGAGGAAGAACATTTCAGACATGGGGGAGAGTCAAATGTATGGAGTTGGGAGATGGAGGGTTTTGTGCCAGGAATAGTTAGGAGACCAGCACCACTGGCCAGTATACAACAGGAAGGTGTAATGTGTAGAAGGACTGGAAAGGTAGGAAATGAGGGGGCTAGAATAGAAGACAGGTGCTAGGTGGTGCCATAGTGCATAGAGTGCTGGGCCTGGAATCAGGAAGACTCATCTTCACGGGTTCAAATCTGGCCTCAGACACTTTCTAGCTGTGTGACTCTGGGCAAGGCCCTTAACCCTGTCTGCCTCAGTTTCATCATCTGTAAAATGAGATGGAGAAGGAAATGGCAAACTGCTGCAGTATCCTAGCCAAGAAAACCCCAAATGGGATCCTAAAGAGTCAGATATGACTGAAATGTCTGAACAATAGATTAGAAGTGGAACTCCAGGCACATTTCAGCTCTTACCTAGATTAGGCATGGTACTTAATCACAGAATATCACAGCTATAAGAGAGCTCAGGGAACACATGATCCAGTCCACACCTGAACAATAATATTGTCTCCAACCTATATAACATACAATTATCCAGTCCAGGAAAAGTAACAATTCACTTCTTTTACCCTTGAAAGAAACTTATCAGTAAAAAGAGGAAGTAAGAGAGAGAGAGATTCTGTAGCTATACCAATAATTGTGTGGGCTCACACAACCCAATTCCAAAGGTGCAGGACACCCTAGTATTCCCTTTCCTTTCCTTTCCTTTCCTCTTCCTTTCCTTTCCTTTTCTTTTCCTGTTTGCCCTACTTGTGAATACTGTTTTGAGACTATTTCTAAGAACAAAAGACTAAATGTTAAGAAACAGAAATGCTTTGTCAAAGGAACATTCAGTCATCTGATATGAGAAGTATCAATCATCTCCCATGTACAGGCAGGAGAAACTGAGATACAAGAAGTTGACCTGAGTGTCAAAATTGTGTGGAGGAGCAATTATGAGGAGAACCCCAGGCCTTAGGGGACAGTAGCAACCCACGGGGTGACCCCTCTATGAAGTATCAGATGAGTGACCCCAAAGTATCATAGGCTCATAGATCTAAGGGCTGGAAGGAACCTTAGAGGTTCTCTAGTCTAACCCCTTCATTTTACAGATAAGGAAACTGAGTCCCACCAAGATTAAATGACTTACCCAAGGAGTCTGAAGCTATGACTTAAAAGCAGTTCTCTTGACTAACCCTGAGCCTTCCCTCATAACCCATCACTCAGACTTTAAACTCTGAGTGGAAACCACTCTGCCAACACAGCTAATGAGACCTCAACTGTCACAACTGGAGGTTTAACAAATCAAGGTGTGATGACAGCGCCGACTGATTCTACGCATTCTAGAAAGCCGTGCTGCTGAGGGAGGACTCTCTTGTCTGTCATGTAATTAGTGTGATGGCATCATTTATAATAAGTTTTTTCTTCCCTTTGGGTTGTTACCCAGCTGTGATGATTATTTCTTTGTCTGCAGATATGAAAATGAGCAGCCCTTCCGAAAAGCAGCTGAAGATGAAATTAACTCCCTGTATAAAGTGATTGATGATGCTAATTTGACTAAAATGGATCTAGAGAGCCAGATTGAAAGCATGAAAGAAGAACTGGCTTTTTTGTCAAGGAACCATGAAGAGGTAGGTCAGAGCTTGGGCTGTTATCCGACTACTGATAACATGTGGAGCTAGTCAGCTTGAGGTTAATAATAAGGATAACAATAGCTTTTTAATATAAGTATTTTGCAAATATTATCTCATTTTAACCACCCTGGGAGGTAGGTGCTACTAATATCCCCATTTTAGAGATGTGGAAACTAAGGTAGGCAGAGGTTAAGTGACTTGCTCAGCTAGCTTTGATTGAGATACTCAAATCACTTTAAAGATGAGGAAACTGGGGCAGACAGAGGTAAAGTGACTTGCCCAGGATAATACAACTAGTAAGTATCTAAGGTGGAATTTGAACTCAAGTCTTTCAGATTCCAGGTACAGTGTTCTATCCACTGCACCACCTAGCTTCCTCTTATAAAAGGGCTTCTGATAGACAAGTTACAACCTGTATAGCTCAGAAAAATAATTGTCTAATCTGGAGGTGGGAGTTTTTAAGGTCATCTAATCCATTCCCCTGGGCAAAATTGCATTGGATTCGAAACTACCCAGAAAGATGAATGTCTGACTGAGAGCCTGGCACATAGTAGATGCTTTATAATGTTTGCTGATTGATTTAGTAATAGGTCTAAAGCAAGGGTGCTTAACTTTTTGGGGATCATGAACCCCTTTGATCCAGGTTGCTGAAGTCTATGGATCCCTTCTCACTATCATATTTTTAAATGTGCAAAATAATATATATCAGATTACAATTATATTGAAATAGTTAACAAGTTTTTAAGAAAAAAAAACCAAATTCACAGTTCTCTGTCTCTTTTTTCTCCCTCTCTGTCTTCAAATGTCTCTTGGCCGCTTGTTCTATTTCCCCATGGAGCCAAAATCTGCTTTTTTATAAAATCTAAAACCAAAAGTGATTCCCTGAACAATGCAGAGAATCAAGGATTCCCTTTTTGGATCTAACCTTAATCCATCTAGTCACTGTTTGGGCCTATCTTCTCTTGTTTCTGGCATCAGCAGTGATCAGAACAGCCAGCCATTGATCCTCAAAGAGTAATCATTCATAAATTCCAAAACTGTTCTAAGGACTCCCTTCTGTCAGGTCCTAGACGAGGCATCTGCTCCGTCTGTTCTTTGGTGGTCATGGAGAGAAGTGGCCAGATACCAACCTGGCCATCAGCTCTCTTCTGCACTTTGTTGGGGTCCTCAGTTATGTCAGGAAAAGAAAAGGAATCCATTGCTTCAGGGCTGGAATCCACTGGTGGGATTTCATCCTGAGAGCCTTTCTAAAGTGAGTGTTGCTTTTAGGATGTGAAGGTGCTATACAAACAGTTGGCCGGGTCAGAGTTGGAAGGAATGGATGCTCCCATTGGTACTGGCTTAGATGACATTCTGGAGACCATCAGAATTCACTGGGAGAAGGACATAGAGAAGAACCGGGCAGAAACAGGGGCCTTGCTCTACGCCAAGGTGAGTAGCAGTGTCCTTGCTGGTAGGCCTGACCCCCCTCATTCCCACCTTGGGATGTTCTTACAACTGAGGAAACAAAATTAACAGAGAACATTTAAAAATGGGAAGGTTTTTCCATTCTCCCCACACCCATTCCCAAATCCCATGACTTTGAGATTTGAGGAGAAAGGAGAAGGACAGAAGAGCATGGAAAAAACAGGAGAGAAGAGTATGGGAGTGGGATGGGGGTGGGGAAGGCAGGAAAAGAAAGTAGGAGGAGTGACCTGGGTAATTTGTATCTACCAAGGACTCTAGAGAAGCAATGTGAGGTAGTAGATAGAGCTGTCCTCACAGTCAGGAAAACCTGAGTTCAAGCCATGTCTCTGATATAGCCTGGCTGGGTGACCCTGAGCAAGTCACTAATTTTTTTTTTAGTGCCTCAGGCAGCTATTAGCGCAGAACAGATGTTGGTCTGCCTCTGTAAAGGGAGTTTCCTAGGACCACAGATCTAATACTGGAAGAGACTTCAGACGCCATGTAGTCTAACCGCCTCATTTTATGGATGAGGAAAGTGAGGTCCACTGTGGTTAAATGACTTGCCCGAAGTCACATCTATATAAAGTGCCCCAAAAGTTTCTCTATCCAAACTTATTGAGAGGTTCATAGAGGGGGTGAAAGAACTTTTTGGTTGCTTTTAAGTCCCCTATTTCTTTTTCTTTTTTCCCCTTAAGTTTATTGATGTATTTTGTTTTGTCATAGCAAATAGTCCCCAATAAACAAACAAACAACAAAAAAAAAAAGCATCCTTACAAAGTTTCTTCCCTGAAAAGGGGTTTGTAATAATAATGATAACAACTCATTTTGTATAGCTCTTTAAGGTTTGGTAAGGGATTTACTCATATTATTTCATTTAAGCCTACCAACAACCCTTGAGAGATAGACATAATTATTTTTATCCTCACATGAAATCTGGATCTTAAAAAAGGTTAGATGACTTGACCAGAGTCACATAACTAGGAAGGGTCCAAGGTGGGATTTGAATTCAGCTCTTCCTAACTCCCAAATCCAGAATTCTTAGGTACTAGCATTGACTATTGTAATTGACTAGAGGTCTGTTGCCTCTCCAAGATGATGTTACCTACATCTTTGTTGCTACCATTTAGTATATATATGGTTCTTCTGGTGTTGCTTTCTTGCTCTGCATCTGTTCATATGAGTCTTCCCATCTTTGAAATCATGTTCTGAAGTCTTCATATTTATTGTCCTTTATGGCTCCATACGTGGCATAGTGAAAGAAAGTCAGGAAAAACCTGGGTTCCAGTCCTACTTCTAATATACTGTCCCTGGGACCCTATCAAGTCAATTAACCTTTCGGTGTCTCCAAACAATTCTCTAAGACTCTAAGTTGAAGAGAAGGAAGGGCTCTGCATTGGTACAGGAATATTCTACCAAAGATATCAAACTCACTGCCCAGGTGGCCCAGCAAAACTCCCTAGTGCAGCCCAAACTAGATTAAAATGTAATCAGTAAATGTTCAACAAAATAAATAAAAATACAATACAACATAGATAATGTTAATTTGTAGTTTTCTAAGTCAACATGTTGCCAGCAGGGATCAGATTCTATTTGAGTTTGACACCACTGCCCTACACCAATGAAACTGTAAGTCAAATAAAAATGTAAATATATCCCATTACGTTCATGTACCGTAATTTGCTCAGCCACTCCCCAATCATTGAGCACATTTTTGTTTCCAGGTCTTTGTTATCACAGGGAATGCTATCATAAACATTTTGCAGGCATGTGGATATTTTCTTGCTATCAATAACATGCTTGGTATTTGGTCCCAGGAGTGAAATCTCTGGATCAATGGGTATGAACAATTCAGTAACTTCATCGCCATTCCAACTTGTTGTCTCCACTCTACCCAACCCCATTGTTTCAATCTCTTTAGTGTCTCCGTGATTCTTCTCAAAGGACACACATCCCCACTGCCTTAGCCGTGCTTAGCTGGCTGTCCTTTTTACCAAATGTTTACCCTTCTCTAGTGACCACATTGTCCCTATCCACTCCTACTCCGGAAGGCCGAGCAACTAAGTTGCCCTAGTTCCTAGAATTGTTTTTGTTTTGTTTTGTTTTAGTTTTAAGCATTCACTTTTGTAAGACTTTGAGTTTCAAATTTTTTTTCTCCCTCTCTCCCTCCTCTCACCCCTCCTCCAAGACAGCAAGCAATCTGATATAGGCTATACATGTACAATCATATTAAACATAGTTCCACATTGGTTATGTTGTGAAAGAAGAATCAGAACAAAAGGGAAAAACCACAAGAAAGGGGGAAAAAAGAGAAAATAGTATGCTTTGATCTGCATTCAGATTCCATAGTTCTTTCTCTGGATGTAGATAGCATTTTCCATCTTTAGTCTTTTGGAACTGTCTTAGATCATTGCATTGCTGAGAAAAGCTAAGTCTATCAAAGTTGATCATCACACAATGTTGCTGTTACTGTGTGCAATGTTCTCCTGGTTCTGCTCACTTCACTCAGCATCAGTTCATGTAAGTCTTTCCAGGTTTTTCTGAAATCTACCTGCTCATTATTTGTTATAGTACAATGGTATTCCATTACATTCATATACCACAACTAGTTCAGTCATTCCCCAATTGATGGGCATTCCCTCAATTTCCAATTCTTTGTCACCACAAAAAGAGCTGCTATAAATATTTTTGTACATATGAGTCCTTTGTCCTTTTTAATGATCTCTTTGGGATTCAGACCTAGTAGTGGCATTGCTAGATCAAAGGCTGCGCACAGCCCTTTGGCTATATGGTTCCAAACTGTTCTCCAAAATAGTTGGATCAGTTCACAACTCCACCAACAATGCATTAGTGTTCCAATTTTACCACATCTCTACAATTGTATTTTTATTGGGAAGGTGAAGGTAGCTTCTGAAACTTTCATTCATGAAAGCTAGATGATGCAATAGATCAAGCATGGGACTTGGAGTTAGGAAGATCTGAGTTCAAATCCTCCCTCAGACACTTAGTAGTTATGTGACTGGGCAATTGACCACTTAGCCTCAGTTTCCTATTCTATAAAATGGAGATGATGATAGCACCTACCTCCTAGAGTTGTTATGCGGATCAAATGAGGTAACATATGTCAACAGCTTTACAAATGTTAAAGTGCTATATAAATTCTAGCTATTATTATTATCCATTCAATAAACCAATTCAGTGCTTCCAGATGGGGTCTACTGGAAAGAGACCTGGTCTTGAAGGCTTGAGACCTGGTCTTGAAGGCTTAAGACCTGGGTTAGGGTCTTGACTTTGCAACTTAGCAACCCTGTGAACTTGGCACATCACCTGGCCTCAGCTTCCTTATCTGTAAGGTATTAATAATTATACTGCACTAACTACCTCACAGCATGGTTGGGAGCAGTCAGTTAAATAACCTATGCAAAGTACTTTTAAACCATAAAGCATTTGATGAATGTGAGTATTTCTTATTCAAGTTAGTTGTATGTGGGCTACACTCTGGGAAGAGATAAAATGATAAATAAGGCACATTTAATGCCCAGAAGGAGACAATTCTGTGATAGAAATATTAGATGTAAAAACCAGGTACAGATTTTTAACAACAACAAATCAACAAATCAACAAATATTTCTTTATGTGTATGGAGTTGGTTACTATACCCCCTCCCCACATTCCCTGAGCTTCATGGACAAGGAGTTTACTATCAGACCCACAGCCATCCCCTTGTATTATTATGATTACTTAACATTCATAGCTCATAGAATGATAGGTCATAGATTCAGAGCTAGAAGAGGTCTTACCAGTCATCTGGGACAACCCCATTATTTTACAGATGAGGAACCTGGAGAGATTACGTGACTTGTCCAAAGTCATCCAGGTAGGAAGTGGCAAAGTCCATATTCATACCCAGGATCTGTGACTACAAAGCCTTTCCACTCTACCACTCTACTTCCCTAGATTTAGAATGGGCCTTAGAAATAATATAATCCAGAGTTTCTAAACCTGGGGTCCATGAATTTGTATTTTTAAAAAACTATTTTGATAATTGTATTGCTTCCCTGCCCCCAAATATTTTGTATATATCATATACATATATCTATATATGTAAATAAAATATATGCATATAAGCGCACTTACATGTGTGCACATATTTGTTGTTTCGTTGAGTCATTTCAGTCATGTTTGACTCTTCATAATCCCACTTGGGGTTTTCTTGGCAAAGGTGCAGCAGTGGTTTGCCATTTCTTTCTCTGACTTTTTTTTTTTTTAACAGATGAGGATCTGAGGCAAACAGGATTAAGTGACTTGCTCTGAGTCACACAGTTAATTAGTGTCTGAGGTAGGATTTGAACTCATGAAGATGAGTCTTCCTGATTCCAAATCCAGTGCTCTATCCACTGTATCACTTAGCTTCCCCATGTGTGTATATACATGCACATATAATTATATGTGTGTATATATATTATATATAATATAATTTTGATAATTACATTTGACAGTAATATACATATATGTATATACATATATGTGTATGTATACACACATACACATATAATTGATTTCTTTTGTAATCCTCTGTTTTTTATTTTATACATTTAAAAACTTTGATTCTCAGAAGGGATCTATGGGCCTCATCAGACTGCCAAAGGAATCCATGATTCAAAAAAGGTTAAGACCCCCTGCCAACCCTCCTCATTTTCTAAAGAAGGAATGAAGGCCTAGGGAGGGAAAGTGAATTAGCCAAGGTCAGAGAGCCAATAAGCAGCAGAGCTAGAATAAGAATCCAGGGCCCCACCCCCACCCCAGTCTGCTTCCGGAGAACTAATTCCTTCTTCCTAGTGAAAAGTCACAGGATATGATTCTTCTCTGATCATTTCTCATTGGCAGGAAAAACAAACTCCAACAACCTTGTCTGTCATTCTTTCTAGATAGAGCCACCGATAAGCTTGGGAGGCTGTTAGTATCCACTGGGTTTATTCACTCAAGGCCCAGTCTGGGGGTGGGGTGGGGAGAGGAGCAAGTCTACAGAGATGTTTGCTTTCCTGTGTTTTCTTTGGCAAACCTGAAGGGAGGTCAAAAGCTGAGCATCTGTGGCAATACCCCTGGGGGGGGGGGGGCCAGGGTGGGTTAGACATGTTAAGAGCAGCTACAGCAGCCCAGCAATTTTTCTTTAAATGTAAGGAAGAAATTGGCTCACCAACTTGATCAGCTGCACCACCCACTGCTTCTCATGGAGTCAAGACTTTAGTTCTTGAAGTCTTTCTGTGAGAGAAACTGGCTGGGGAGGTCAAGATTTGCACTAGAGTGCAAAATGATCATAGAATGCCCACTATTCGCTTTAATTTGACAGCTGGTGTTTAATAATGATCTATAGCCATGGCT